CCAAGGAATAACTTAAAGTAGTAGGGACGTGATGCCAAAGATGTTCCAATCCTGAGATACGTACCTTATAGATATTAAGTTCTAAATTATGTTCCTAGCCATAAGATGATTGAAAAAACTATCGAACATCCATAAAAGTCGATTTATGTCATATTCAGTAGTGAATCTCAGATTAAGCATGTATAGACATAGAATAGACATAATGGTGCTCATCTATGAGATCAAGTTCATTGAACATTGACCAACCATAGAAGTGTCGGATGACAAATTACCTACTTGTTAATTGTACCACACTTCTGAGTTATGGATACAACTAATTCTTAGACTTGAAGCATCACTGGTTATCTTGTGTTTATGAATATGGTCTTTGGTCTTGCCTCGAAGCTCTCAAACAATAGCGGAGCCCTATAATGTGATGTTCTAGATAATGTGCATCAACATGAAGGTATGTGAATGCACAATAAGTAATCTGTCACCTTCTAGTAATCATGAAGGTTGGTATCCTAGTACCCCCTTGACGATCTATCTCTAGATTTCTTTGGCCATAGCAATGTACATGAGATACAATAGGGCGACCATATTTATGCTTAGAGTTTGACAAATTTTTCATGGTCAAAAATATATGATTGGAATAAAGTAGACAGAGGAACCGAATTGCTTTGTAACCGTACTAAGGTTCTAAACATGTGTTGTATAAAAATAGGAAAAATTAGATTCTCATCCTTCCTTTTACTACTCCATTGATTAAAATCCTATTCATTTTCAATTTTTTATCAAGGTTCTTGGTATTATTAAATCATTAATTATTTCAATAATAAAATATTTTTTATTTCTAAATATATTCATTTAATGTTAAAAATGTTACAATTAGTATATTTATATTTATGACTAAATTTTTTATCATATATTTTTAGTTTTAGTTTGTATCCATTTTTAATTTGTAATTTTTTTTTAATTTGTACCAATTTCTTTTCAATTTTAATTTGTACTCATATATTAATTTCTTTTTGTGCCCATATTTTTTAAAGCTTATTTGTATTTGTACCCATATATTTTTTTTATTTGTACTTTTTATTTTGCTAAATGTACCCATGCTAATTATATGTACCCATTCATGTAAAACTTTTTAATCTTAAAATGTACTCATTGTTAAATATAAAAATTTGTTATATGTAAAATGTACCATTTTTTTAATATAAAATCTATTCAATTTTTTTCTAATCCATTTTTAAACTTATATGGGTACATTCTTTTTTCTTTGGTTTTAAAATGTATCTATGTCAAGTTTAACCGAAGAAATTTACTAATGTTATTAAGCCTAATATCTTTTTGTGTTTGTGATTTTGAAGAATGTACCCATGTTTTGATTTTTTTGGTTAATTTTGATGAATTTACCCATGTTTACACACACACACACACAATAGTAGATTATATTTTTATATTTTTAATCCCACAAATTATGGTTTTTTTATTTAAAATCTCATTTATATAAACAACTAAAATTTCTAATTTTTAATTTAAAAAAAATAGTCACGTACATAGAAATAAATTATCACATTAATTTCAGGGATCTCAATCAAAAATTAAAAACTAATAAGGTTTCAATCAAAGAAAATTCATGACTAAGGACCGCATCCAAAGTCTCCCATAAAAATATTTTGATCAATCTGGGTAGTTGAAAGCCATTGCTAGATGTTACTATTCAGTTTGTGGATATTCCTACAGGTTAAATTAGAATGGTTTCTAATTATATAAAACTAGAAAATTTGATTAATCAAATTATTCACTGCTAGCTTTAGTGAGAACCTACAAGGTCACACACAATAGAACGATATCAAAGGACAAAATTGGTGAAGGATGAATTTAATATAAATTGTTTATATTAAATGTTTTGTTTTATATTTGGTTAATTGGTTTGGACCTTGCCACTTAGTACTACGGTCTAGTGGTATTCCTCTTCATGTTTGATTCTTTCCAAAGACGATACATTAGTGTAGATAATATCGTTTGTTCAAAAAAAATATTGATTTGATCCTTATGTCTATTATAAGTTATTTGAACTACAATAAAATAAGTAAGCACAGTCCAAAAGGAAAGACTAGAATAATTAAATAAATAAAATAGGAGTGAAGCGGACCAAAGCCCAGTGACAAAGGGGGTGTGTGGCAAGCCAAAAGGAAGTGTCTCCTAAGGCATGCGGCACGCATGTGCAGTGGCGGATTAAATTGTAATCCTACTGGGTTATGGAGTTGTTCTATACATAAGCCTAAAGGATTTTTAGATATAGAGTGGATTTCTTACGTATTGTGAAATCAAGCATGTCGATTAACTTAGATCACGTGGATTAATTTAATAAGATTAAATAGAATCCAACGTTCCACTAACCATGCATGTAAATTGAATTATATATGCTTACGTCATCTTGCCACCTTCCGCACATGTGTTCTAAAGTAGTCCTTCGGGTTATAGAATTTGCCGAAGACCTAGGTTGATTGTAACCAAGGGTTACTCTGTCGCCACCAATTATTGTTGGTGGAGACTATGGGGCATCCCCATGAGAGTCATGGATGACTTTGTTTGAGGAATAGTGGATATAAAATGACAAATATCATTCACCACAGACCTCAACGGAATAGCTAAAATCTTGTAGGATCTAAACAATAAAGAAAAAAAACTAAAAATAGAAGCTAAAATCTTCCATCTACAAATCCATTGTAATGTCATTGGAATTATGGAAGTTTTTTCGTCATATCATTTGCGACTTGCGAGGGACAAGGCTCTCATAATATATTAAGGAAAGAAAAAGAAAATATCTCTTAGTTGCTAAGTCTGCGTGCTTGAGTAAGTGTGTGTTCAATAAACCTTTATTTATATAATATATCGGTTGTTTTCACCAAATAATCCTTGATAACTCTCAATCTGCGATTCAGATTATACGAGAAGCTTGTCAATCTTGACCAAAGATGAGTTCAAAAAGTGACATCTGTCTAGCAATATGCCTCGATTCTTATTTTCACCTAACATTTTGCCTAAAATTTTGGCTTTATAAGAGAGTTTAGATTGATGACACCTATCATTATATGGAATTTGCAAGTAACACATGTGCGCACAAATTCATTACAAACACAAACATCTTTGCCCGCAAGAAATAACAATGTATGCATCTCACTTTCACGTCTACTATTGGGATCAACATGAACGTTCACTTTTGGATTTAAACACAAATTAGCTTTGCCCAAATTAATTAAACTAGTTTGTATTGCCTTTTTGTCGGCCAAAACTTTTGGCTTGGATTGGTAACTTTTGTTCTATGAGATTGACTAAGAAAATAATGCATGCCCATGGTTTTTTTATGTATGTGAAGGGAGAGTTTTTTGAGATAATTTCCTTCAAGTTCTTCATCTTATTATCTTTGTTCATTTTTCTCCTTAAAATGGATCCATTATGAAGGCATGCATAATCTTACACAATATTATAGTTCAAGATGAGCGTTGTAATGAGAATAAAGAACTCAAAGGATGAAGAAGAAATCACTACAATAAATAACGAGTATGACGTAACACAAAAAATCGTACAAGGTGCTAAAAATACTACAGAGCAACCTCAATTGATGAATCAATATCTATTCTGTCATATATATCTAACCCCTCGGTAACAAATTAACAGCCTAACGTTGATCTTGCTTTTGAATTTAACTTTAATTAATTTATATACTCTTCAGTATCATCTTAACTTTTTACTACTTTTATACGTCCTAGGAAAAACCTTTAATTTTATAATTACTTGGTTTACCCAATAAATTAATCAGTCCCTAAAGCTTTCATGCACCTACACAATCAGATGCGCTGGAATAGGATCAAATTTTCACCCACAGTTTCAACTTTATTTTTCCGTCCCTAAAAAATCAAGTATTGTTGCGGTCATGATCATCGTCTTCGTAGCAGGTCTTAGCTATCTGGTAAAGACGGCCCCTTAAGAAACCCTAACATCAATAGTGTTGTTTTCTTTTCATTTGTATTTGGGTATTTGACTACAAAAGTAGCCAATTACCAAACCAAAGCAGCTAGTTTTTTTTTATAAAAATTGATGAAAATAAAGGGAAAAGAGAGAAGAAATAAATATATATAAAAAGGAGATTATATTTTTTAGGTAGGCGCCAGTATGTTGCTACTATATTGGTTTCACTTTAACGTAGTGGAATCACATCAGGATGGAGTGGAAGTGGTACTGTAGCTGTAAAAGCCGTGTTGAACTTTTAAATTTAATTTTTAACATAGAAAAAAAGAAATAAAAAAAGAAATTATATTCACACTCCAAATTACTTCACCCATACATTTTTACTTTTTTAATATTTTTCTATCAAGTGTTAGTGGTGTGTATAAAATATTAAAAAATTAAAAATATGTGGAAGAAGTAATTTGAGATGTGTGAATATAATCTCACAATAAAAATTATAATATCTGGCTCCTTGATGTTCCAAAGTCCAAATTAACCCTTCAATTATTATGGTAGGATAATGTGGCCCCCAAAATGTTCCTTGTAAATTGGAGGTTATACATGACTTGGAAACAAAGATTCAAATTATTACAAGCGTTCTCAGAGTCAAATTCATAAAAGATTATTGGAATATACAAATTATATAGAACGTTTTTATTAAGTTATGCGTGCATTGTTGTACATTGTCAATTATTACTTGTAACACTGCAACAATGTAATTTTTTTTATATGAAAAAAAAAATCAACAAATTCCTGTGGAATTTATGCATATTTTTTTTGCATCAAATGTTTTAGTGATATACAATATGATATGTCTGTTGTACGAACATATATCTGGAAGGTTAGAATCTGTTTATGATTTTTCTTTTTACAAAAAATATATATTCGATTTGAAGGTTAATATTAAAGAAGAAAACACATAAGGGTAAAAGCCTAAAAATTTGGAATGACCAACATTTTTTTTGTGTGTGCTTTCTTATGCAGTTTCTTCAAGAACATAGAAATCAATCAAGTACTTGAAAACTGATCAATTAAGAAAAAACAACTGCAGTTTGACACAACTACTAAAACTAACTAATTAAGCTAGTTCTCTTTTATTGTATATCAACTCTCAACAACAATAATGTACTAAAAAGATAGTTCTCTTTTATTGTTTATCAACACTCAACAACAGTAAGACGTACTAAAACGATCATAACTTGCCAAATTGAACATTAAGGGCACATCACATTAATCTTCAAAGTATGGGATATAAGCATGACGCCAAACTCATTCCTCATGCATTCTCCTCTGTTGCCACAAATTCTTATAGAACTTCTCTATAAACGCCTCCGCCGCTTTGTCTACGTGGCTTTCCTCATCAGCCTCCCTCAACGGAAACGGTGAGTCCGTTATCCTCAGCTGGCAGACCATAGGGCTCTTCCCAAACCCAGGAAGCACCGGTGATGCTGCCACGTATGCTGCTGCCTCCACAGTCACCGCTTCATTGTTCAACATCTCCAAAACTGCCGTGACGGCACCTGCGCTCGCAATCTCATCATCCTGAGTCTGCGGCACTTGAGTACACTTGAAGAGGTTGTGGTGGCGGCGCTTGCCCATGAGGTGAAAATGGTAGTTGGGGGTGTTGCTACAGCTAAACTCGTACTCTCGTTGGGCGGCAGAGGAGGTGGCCCAGCTGTAGTGGGGGTGGCTTTGGCTATGGTGATGGTTGTGGAACATAAGATTGCTTAAGGTTTTGCTGGCGAGCTTGCCACGCTTCATCATCATGTTGAAGTCCAGTAGGAGCTTTCGCTTTGAAATGCCCTTTCTTAGCATGAAGAAAGCTACACGTACTATACTCCATATTCTCTTGGCAATTTCTGGTAGATTATTTTGTTCCATATTTTAGGCTTTAATTTTATTTTCTCAATTGAGAGAGAGAGAGAGAGAGAGAGAGAGAGAGAGAGAGAGAATGAGAGAAAGTTGTTGGGTGCGAGTTCTAAACAAAGAGGGGGGGGAGGTGTATTTAAAGGTGGATCCAGAGGTGATTGAAGAGAAGAGAATTGGGTTTGTATTTCTTTTGAATAAATAATTTCTTTTTCAAAATGGTCCGAAAAGTAGGGTTTGTATTTCAAGTATGCACTAGCTAGAATGGCTTGTTGTGGAGTGGATTCATAGATTTTTATTATTACTTTTTTGGTTGCATAGATTTTTAGTGTTACTTTTTTGCAGAGACCAAGCATGCACAATGGTGTTACTTTTTTAGTATATGCTTAATTTTCTTTTGAAAATTATAGATCGGTACACACTGTTATACCTTCTTATAAATGTGTAAAAGATTGAAAGTCGGCATTTCATTTCTATAAAAAAAATTCAACAAAAAAAAAATAATGATACTAGAATATGACAATAATAATAATATGGGATACTTTAGATGCGGTCCTTAATCATTAGTGTATATTAATTGAAATCCTATTAGTTTTTAGATTTTGATCAAAGTCCATTAACTTTGTACACATCAGCATATTAGCACCAATCAATTTCCATGTCAATTGTTTTATATTTTAAATTAAATATTGTAATATAGACATCCTTTAAAGAAATATTTTTTTTTGTCCGAACATTTAAAGCAATTAAATAAAATAAATTACCACATTTATGGGATATAAAATCCCATAAGATTTGAACTTTAACATTATGGGATTAAACAACAAACTCCACCCTTAGAAAAGAATTCTTTTTTTTATTGAATGTCATGATAAAAGATAAATGTTCCCATAAGAATGTACCCATGTACAATTATAGTAATTCACAAGAATGTATCCATATACAATTTCAACATTAAAACCCATATGTGACAACAACAAAAAAAACAATGTACCCATATAAATTCTTAATGTAAAAAATGATTAAAGGATAGCAAAATGGAAGCAAACCATAGGACCAAATTACTTAAGGGTACATACTATATAAATCTTATAGGAAAAAGTTATACATATATGGGTACCAAAAAATTTAGATAAAAAATTACAATGGTAGTATAGAATAAAAGTTGGGTACATGGATTAAGGAACAAGAGAAGAGAATGTAGCCAATGCAATTAAAATTGAATTCATAGCAATATAATGTTCAGTTGTTACGATTTTGCAATATGATGGTCATGGAGAAAAAATAAGTTTGAATTTTTTTGGCGAAATTTAAATTTGAAGATACATATTCAATATAATAATGTTGAATTTGAATATAAGTATAAATTTGAGTGAGAGAATTTTGGGATTTTCAATTACAAACGAGATTGTGACAACCCGTCCCTAATTTTACGTTCTTATTTATTTTAATCGAGGGAATTGACGAAAATGCCCCTAGAGACACAAACTTTGACTTCCATGGAGCATCGTCTAGAGAAACGTATAACTTATTCCTTTAGTGCATATGTGTAGTACTCGTTGGTACGAACACATAGGCTAAAATGGTTTGCTAGTCAGGATTATAACGGTATAGTTACGGACATTTGAAGTGGTGTTACTAAACTAAAGTTATTAAATAAATTGAACTCCCACTAAGTGGGAAGGGGGACCAATCAGAAATCAATAGGAGGGAGGGAACTTCCCCTTCATGTTGACCCGTGCAACCCCAACAAAACCCGGTTTAATTCCGGCCTCCTCTTGCCATTTTTTCGTTGAACAACCACCATATACTACTTACAATCTCTTCCACTACCTCCCATCTACCTTTCTCACCCAAGATTGAAGGGTTTTAAGTCCAAAACCGTGCAAAAATCATGCGCGTGACCTGTGGAGTTTCGACGGTGATTCCTCCTTTCTGGGGAGTTTCACCACTCATTACCACCCTTAATCAAATCCCCTTGGACCCAGGAACAAGACCCAACCAGTTGTAGGGACGTTGGAACGTCGAGAAAGGAGAATCGAAGAACACCCATTCTAGGTTTTCCGGTGGATTTGAGTGAAATTGGAGCTCTTCACGGCCAAATTGGTCTTAGTCACAGGTATAAAAGTTGTTCCACTCAATGAGATCTTTATTTCTGTGAAGTTTGAGAATTTTTAGAAATAGTTGATTTTTCCTGCGAGTCGGGGCGGCCGACCGCCACCCGCGGCGACGCGTGATGCGGTGCGTGGCTGGAGGGCCGTCAATACTATTTTTAGCCTAAATTAGATGTATTGAGTTCATTTTTGATGTTAGTATGACATTGGTTGATCGTTTGAACCTAAATTCTTTATGATATGTTACTTAGTAAAAATGTGAATCAATAATCCAATCGTTAGATCGTAACCAAACTTTAATACTTTATAATATATAATATTTAAGGACCATAGAAACTTACGGATTGGGAATCTGACGTATGGATCTTCCCGAATTGGATTTGTAAGTTCATGAAATAAAAGGTTAACCGCCACTTAGTTTTGGCAATTGGCGGAGATCCGACCGTTGGATCGTAATGGGACTTTAGGATGTTGTTCTAGAGGTATAATGTGGATCTTTGGAAGTAACGGATCAAAAATCCATGCGCAGATCTTCCAAATTGAATTGTGTAGGGATGTGTTTTATATAAATTGTGTATTTTATCGGTACGAACTCTGAGATATGTTTTGATAATTGGTCATAGGCGACGATGGTTCGTGATGTCTCGATATGCGTGCTAGGGAGTCGTAGCACGAACCTCAAGTAAATGGGTCTTTTCCTTTTTATCGTATATTATATATATGTGTGTGTGTGTGTGTGTGTGTGTGTGTGTGTGATTGACAATTCCATAACATTTATAAATTGCTTATTGCGTATAATCACTGTAAATGCTTTGAAGTACTATTGTGAACTACGAATGGCTTGATCCCTGTTTAGGGTACGTAGGCAGTCTAACGAGACGTTAGATGCAGCCATACAATAATTGAAACAAAACCTTGTTTGGGAATTGAGTAAAGTGAAGGAAACTGGTGAAAATATGAGATTTAACCTTATATTTTTAGTGATTGGATGTTGGTCATAAATCAATGTGGAAGGAAGCAAGAAATTGAAATAAGGAAACGTAAGTAATGATAGTTAATTAAACTAGTGTTTAGTTGGACTTATCCCCGATAATTATTTCTGAATATAAATAATTCGGTAGTATGGCGTTATAGATTGTGCATTTTACGCCACATTATATATATATATATATGTATATATATATTGGAAAAATGCTATAACATGGTTGAGTATTAGATTGCATCATGGTTTATCTATATGTATTTTACTTGCACATAATTATTGTAAATGCTTTGAAGTGCAAAGGCGAACGCAAGACACCCAGGTAAGTTCTGGTGAGTTTATGGTATTAGTTGAAATGATCGAGTGATGGCATGACTATATTATGTTTTAGGTAACTCAGACATTATTGTACAGGTTGCCTATGAGTTGTATATGTCATATGAGATGCATTTAGAGCTCATAAACCTGCACCCCGGTATTAGTGTTCCTGCATGTGGCCAGGGCACAATCTTTCACGTGATGTTCACCCTCTGCACCTTACACTCACCTTGGATCCAAGGTAGGTGCACATGCCTGTTGTATATACCACTATAGATGGTTCCGACTCGTAGGTGACCCGCGATTATTCGCACAGTCTTCATGTGATCGTAGCACTTGAGCGTACTTATTTACACCCAGTTCTGTCATATAAACCAGTATAGGTGGTTCCGACTCGTGTGTAGGGATATATGATGAGCTAGCATATGTGATGAGATATATGATAAGCTAGCATATGCAATGAGATATATGATGAGCTAGCATATGCAATGAGATATATGATGAGCTAGCATATAGGATGACATATATGATGAGCTAGCATATGTGATAAGATATGGATAGTCGTACAGGTCACCATAAGTGACTCCGACTAGCGTGCTAGTATGGGTTATTAAGCACTTGATTATTTATATTGCTAATAAGATGTTGTGATGTGGTATACTTCTGTATGTAATGTAAGTATACTTTTGATTTCATGTTTATCTGAAGTATGATTTTTTGGAAGCTAAATAGGTGTTACGATGAGGGATTATATTGTTGAGAAGACTTTTATTAAAACTTTATTTTCTGGCCTCATCTTTGTTTTATCCCTCTAGGTCTAGTAGCAGAGCTTTCGTATCGACAAGGATTTGTGGCAAGTCTTGGTATTGGAGATTACCTTCAATGGTATGATTTTCAATCCACTTTACTTTACTTTGCTTATGCTCTGACGTCCTGTGTGAAATGAGTTCATTTCCGCTCACGGTGCACTATTGTATTTAAACACTTTTAGATTTAAATTTATTCACTTTTTCCACATTATCACACTTTATGGCTTCGTCACCTTCCAGGTGTCGGCTAGCACGGCTCGATTCGGAGTCCTAGTAGACATTTCAAGTCGGGATGTGTCATGATAATGTGGGAGAAATTATAAATTAAAATTTGTTGTAAAAAAATAAAAAGATGACATTGAAGTATTTTAATGGTGAAATGCTGAGGTGTATAAAGTCAAGAAATCAATGGACTTTGATCAAAAACTAAAAACCAATAAGGTTTTTGTTTGTACCATACTTGACCAATCCCGAAACTACTGAGCACCGGTCAACGTTATACTGTCAAAGACCCAGAAGAATTTCCCTCAAACCAGGAGGCTAATCACAGCGCGACACGTGTCGATATCAGAAGCCAATCATAGTGCGACACGTGTCAACATCAGAAGCCAATCACAACACGACACGTGTCAATGTCAGAATGAAACTAGAAACTCTCTTCTATAAATAAAGATCATTCTCTCACAATATTTCCTAATGTCATTTGTACTAAATCCTTCACCTGTACTCACTAAAGGAGAGCTTGAACTTATGTACTTGTGTAAACCCTTCACAATTAATGAGAACTCCTCTACTCCATGGACGTAGCCAATCTGGGTGAACCCTGTACATCTTGTGTTTGCTTCCCTGTCTTTATCCATTTACATACTTATCCACACTAGTGACC